GAGATCGGGTTCCTCGGGCATGTCGTGTCAGGTTCGGGCATTGCGGTGGATAAAGCCAAGATAGAAGCCATTATGAATTGGGAGAGACCCAAAAACGTGAAAGAAATACGTAGCTTCCTCGGCTTAGCAGGATATTATCGTAAGTTTGTTGAAAAATTTTCTGTATTAGCGTCTCCATTGACAAAGCTCACAAAGAAAGGGGCCAAGTTCATATGGGACGACAATTGTGAGAAAGGATTTCTCGAACTAAAGAAACGGCTTACAGAAGCACCAGTCCTCGCTCTACCCACACAAGGGATAGGGTACGACATATACAGTGACGCTAGCATCCAAGGGCTTGGATGTGTTCTAATTCAAAACGGTCGGGTGATTGCCTATGCTTCAAGGCAATTAAAGAAACACGAGGCAAACTACCCTACCCATGATCTAGAGTTGGGAGCGGTAGTGTTTGCACTGAAAATTTGGCGGCATTATCTCTATGGGGAGACATGTCACATTTTCACCGATCATAAAAGCTTGAAGTATGTATTCACTCAAAAAGAGTTGAATATGAGACAAAGGACATGGATGGAGTTGATCAAGGACTATGACTTGATCATCGACTATCATCCCGAGAAGGCCAATGTAGTAGCCGATGCATTGAGCAGAAAGAGTACTGATACGTTCGTAATTTCCATTTCTATGTTTATGTTTTTAATTAGTTTTGCTTGACTTTTACTTTGGAAATTACACACTTTTGGTGTAATAGATTAGATTGTTAAATTCTTGTAAATAGGTTAGATTAGATATATTCTGAGCTTAAGCAGGTTTTGGTCACTCAAAGTACAGTTGGTGAACCCAAAAAGTGAAGAGAAGGTGAAAAAGTTCAAAGACAAAAGAAGATCCTGAATTTTGGTCTATACTCGGTCGAGTATTAGCTATACTCGATCGGGTATTAGGTTGGAACTTCAAATCGGATCAGATCCGAAGACAAAGGAACATGCAGGGAAGATTTTGGCCACGATTCTATGTCTATACCCGATCGGGTAGACCGACATACCTGATCGGGTATGCCTTTGAATTGCAAACGAAGATCGGTCGAGTATAGCCCGAATACCACTTTCTAAGCATACTCGACCGGGTATTCATATATACTCGATCGGGTATACACTTAGAAAATAGCCTGAAACCGGTCGAGTATGCCTCGGATCGGGTGTTACACACATACTCGATCGGGTACCATGTATATACCCGATCGAGTACCCGAATCCCATCCCAAAAACCTATAAATACACCTCCTTTCCTTCACAAAAAGATATCCAATCCCTTTGTACATCTAAGCTCAGTATAGAATAGCTCTTTCTTTATATTTTTCATCATGTTTAGTCTCCAAATGAGGAGCTAAACTCTTCCATCTTGGTTTTGCTACTTTGAAGCTTAATGAATTTGTAAGTTGTGAGTTATTTTTCTTTAATCTTCTTCCTTGAATATTAATTCTTTCTTTCAAAATACTATCTCTATATCAAAGTTGGGGAGTGTTATTAAGATGACAATTAGTTAACATCTTGACATTGGTTATAGTAATAGCTATTTCTTCCTCTATGATAATATTGGGGAGTGTTACTAAGATGACAATTAGTTAACATCTTGATATTAATCATAGTAGGATTCATATATTTTAATATTCTTCCTTGAGTATTAATTAATTCCTATTCATATTTCATGTTAATATCTTAAACATTACTTAAAGTATCAACTAGTATTGTTTCTCATATTAATTATTACTAGAATCAATCGGTTAATACGCTTGTTATTAATCCGGTTCTTTCAACGGTAGTAAACTTGGAATATTAATGCATGCATCTCATGGTTAATATGTCAATGGGAATTAATTATATTGATTAAACCAATAAACCGCTTGTGTTGAGGTTATCAATCTCAATCGTTTTCATCTTAAGTTTATTGCTACTATCAAGTTAATATACGGCGCTTGTTCTATATTGACTCGATAGTAAGTTTTATTAATGAACGCATCTCGTTATTAATAACTACCCTCGATGAACTGGATATACTCCTCGATTGAGTATTCGAGAGGAAGATAGTTAAAGATATAACCGGGATCGACGAACATTTCATTAAGTGGATAAAAGCAAGACCAAGTCTTCATCTCATTGCATTAAACTCATATAGGTTGTTTATCTTAGTGTTGTTAAAACAAACAAATCTAAACCCCCCTTTTATTACTACTTTTATAAAAGAAAAGTATTCCTTTCCCTGTGGATACGAACGTTACTGCACTATACTACGTATTTGTGTCGTATTGATTATTTATTTTGAGTGCACCTAACGACGAGTGCACGTCAAATTTGGCGCCGTTGCCGGGGAAAGGCAATAAATTTTTCTTTTATTTTCATATCAAGAAAAATCAAAAAAAAAAAAATATTAAATAAAAAATTATAAAGAGTTCTTATTTCTTCTATTTCTGAGCTTAGTAGAGTTTATGGTTAGACATCGCTCCATAAACAAAATCACATACCAAACAAACCCAGAAATAGAACACACTTTCGAGCGGTTGAAAAGTAAATTTTCTAATACCGACTCGGAGGAATCATCTATCAGAGATTCATCCAGCGCTAGTTCTCATTCTAGCGAGACCGAAGAGTCAATAACCATGGCTCTTGAGACAAGAACACTACGGGAGCTCACTGCTCCAAATCTCAATCAACAACCGTTATGTATTACCTTCCCTACACTCGATGAAGGTAATACATTTGAGCTAAAATCTGGGCTCATACATCTACTGCCATCCTTTCATGGCCTAAGGGGCGAAGACCCCAACAAACATCTCTCGGAATTCCATATTGTCTGCACAAGCATGTGCCCCAGTGGTGTTTCGGAAGAACAAATCAAATTGAGGGCTTTTCCATTCTCCCTCAAAGACACTGCAAAGGATTGGCTATTCTATCTTCCTTCGGGAAGTATAGACACATGGGCAGCAATGAAAAAATGCTTCTTGGATAGGTACTATCCCGCCTCAATCTCATCTTCTTTAAAAAAACAAATAAGCAACATTGAGCAAAAAGAAGATGAAACATTGTATGAATATTGGGAGCGCTTCAAAAAGTTGTGTGCTAGTTGCCCATATCATGGGTACACTGAGCAAGACCTCATCCTCTATTTTTATGATGGTCTTGCGGATCAAGATAGGCGCATGGTGAATGCGGCTTGTGGAGGGGGAATTGTTAACAAAACCCCTTCTCAAGCAAAGAATCTCATCTCGGAATTGGCCGAGAACTCCAGACATTACAATGGGTGATCCTCAACTCGAAGGGTTGCCGCAGCAGAATCCAACACCTCGTTGGAAGGCCAAGTTGCCAGTTTGACTTCTCTTGTCAAAGAACTTCTTCTGAAACCTAACACTCAGGAGGTCAAAGCTTGTGGCATTTGCACAGCAACCGGGCACCCCACTGATTCGTGCCCATCCCTCCAAGAAGAACAAGTCAACGCCTTGGGTTTCCAAGGCCATCAACAGAAGAGGTATGATCCATTCTCAAATTCTTACAACCTTGGATTGCGGGATCATCCTAACTTGAGGTATGGAAACCCTCAACAATCCAACTCATCTTCTCAATCTGGTATGTCAACTGATGACATGATCCGGACTTTGACCTCAAGCATGGTCACCATGCAACAAAACATGGGACAATTTCAACAAACCATGGTACAATTTCAACATGAGACAAAGTCAAGCATTAACAATTTGGAAACTCAAGTTGGTCAAATTGCAAATGCCGTGAACCAACTTCAAACAAAGGACTCGAGTAAACTCCCATCCCAAACGGAGCAAAACCCGAGACAACATGTGAATGCTATAACGTTGAGAAGTGGTGCAACGTTGAAAGAGGCAAAAGAGAACGAGGAAGAGACTGAGGGTGTGGACCCTGAAAAAATAGTTCCACCGGAGGAGGAAAACAAAGAAACCATGCTTCCCCCACCCTCATCATATGAACAAGAAATCACGTTTCCTGAGGCGCTGAAGGAGACAAAGAAGCTAGAAAAAGATGCCGACATCTATGAAACCTTCGCAAAGTGTGAGGTAAACATTCCGCTTCTTAACTTCATGAAAAATGCCCCTCGTTTTGCTAAATTCTTAAAAGAGTTATGCAAAACAAAAAGAAAAGATAAACTGAAAGGGAAACAAGAGGTTAGAGTTAGTGAACACGTCTCGGCCATTTTTCAGAGGAAACTCCCCGAAAAATGTAATGACCCAGGCATGTTCACTATCCCTTGCAAAATAGGAAACACCACATTTCCTAAGGCCTTGTTGGATTTAGGGGCATCAATAAATGTCATCCCCTATTCTGTTTACAAAACTCTACAACTTGGCCCACTACATCAAACAGGTGTAGTGATTCAATTGGCAAATCATTCTAGTACTTACCCAAAGGGTGTTGATGTACTTATATTTTACACACTTTTTAGGCTTAGTTTGTTATTAATTTTAGTTATTAAAATTCTACTTTTGTACATATTTTTATAATTTGTCGTTAGTTTGTACTTGTGCAGTCCTACACGGGTATTTTGTGTTTTCAGGTACTTTTGATGCTATTTGGATACATTAGAGTGAACAAAAGAAGAAAAATAAAAGTTCAAGTTGGAGGTCAATAAAAGTGGAATTTCCTTCAAAACAAATAAGGAGTAAATTGAAGAAAAGAATCAAAACTAAAAATGATGGAGGTGGGATTCGATCCCTGGAAAAAGGGTAGAAGAATGCCTACTACAACCAGTGTGCTAAGTGATCAATGCTGTACATATTCAGCTGGCAATTGTTATATTCCTTCTGAACGCGGCAAAGAAAAGAACAAAATGTTGAAGCGGAGAATCGATCCCAGATCTCTGAGTTTTCCTCTGAAGTGCTTATCCGTTGAGCTACCTGCCACTTTTGAAACTTTACTGCGCTTTGTTGTACATAAACTCATCTGTTCCGTAAATTCCAGCAATTAATGATTAATCACCTTATCATTATATTGCCTTAATCCATCTTCATCCACGCATAAGTTCGGACCAACCTCTCTTTAAACATCCCAGAAACATTTCCTCCTCCTTCTCTCTTCATTTCTCAACCCCAAATCATCAACCCATCTTCAACCATAACTAATCACTTTCTCATCCAAGATTAAGTCAAGATTAGCATCAAAGCTCCAAGGATTGTCATCAATCACAAGTTTGATCTTCCTTATCTCATTAAATCTTGTATTTTAATCATGGATTCATCTATTTCTATGTTTCCCAACATGTATAGCTAAATAAATTTGGGGCTAGAAATTGGTTAATTAATTGTTCTTATAATGTTTTAATTTGTATTGATTTTAATTGTTAAGTTTGTTCTATTTAGATTGTTGTGTCCAGAAAATTAATTATGTTGTGTTTATGATATATATTATGAGTACTCAATCATAAACATATTGTTTGTTAAATACACAAATGAACACTTTCTGAACACACCGTTAAACTTCTTTTATCTTGTCCCGGATTGAAGTTTTACGAGAGAATTTAATTATTTAATTATATTATTTACACCACGGGGTTGGGTAAATAATATAGTTAATAATTAAGGTTGCCGTTGCACTTAAACAACTAGTCTCATTTTGGCCATCACTGGGAAATGTTGACTAGTTACTTATTTTAGGTGACTTGTGTTGGGTCCTAAAATATTTATCTACAACTTCTCACAATCTATCTAAGAATAAAATTAGCAATTATGTCTTACAAATGAGCATTGAACAATTAGTTGCCAATTTCTACCCCTACTTGCTATTGGTTGAACTTTGTGTTGATAAAAATCTCTTCTCTCAATCACTTTTATTTAATTACTTTTCCAAGCAAACAAAAATCAAAAGAAACGCATTCCCAACTTCAATCCTTAGTTTGTGCTTAATTATTTTATTTCCCGCTTCTCTGTGGTTCGACACCCTACTTCCTTGCGTAAAAAAATAGTTGTGTGCCCATTATATGCTACACACCAACTTGGCGCCGTTGCCGGGGAAGCGGTTTTGAAAAAAAAAATTGAGAGCATAAACTTTCGATTTTAGTTATTGTAAATTGTGTGTATATTATTCTGTTGTTATCTTTTTACCTTTGCAGGTTAAAAAAAAAGTGATTAATTAAAGTTCAAAAAAAAAAATCAAAAAAAAAAAATCAAAAAAAAAAATCAAAAAAAAAAAAATGGACTGTGATTAATCATCTTACCTGAGCATTGGAGTTGGACTTGTTGACTGAACATATCTGGACATTCAGACCATTGAACATATTGTTACATTTTAATTAAAAGGATACTCCGCCTATATGGTCGGACCGCTTACTTGTACATTATAATTCAAAGGATACTCCGCCTATATGGTCGGACCGCTTACTTGTACATTATAATTCAAAGGATACTCCGCCTATATGGTCGGACCGTTTATTTTTCTTTTTATGGTGGTTCAAACCCCAACTTTTTAATTTCTGCACTTTAATTATCGCAATTTAATTTGTGCACTTATATTATCGCAATTTAATTTCCGCACTTTAATTTCAGCATTTTTTTTAAATTTTGCATCCCCAAGCTTGTAGGCCGTGTCCACTTGTTGGTGGAGTGCACTTTTTATTTTTATTTTTTTTCTTAATAATCCCCAGACTGTCGGCATAGCTGCATCTTGGTGGAGACTGTATTTATTACTGTAGCTATTTTTTTTCTTCCCTCAAATCACCATATCTGTCGGCCTAGCCGCATCCTGGTGAATTACTGTACATTTTTTTTCTTCCGCATTTATTTTTTCTTTTCATCTCTCTCTCTCTCTCTTTCCCAATCCCAATTCCCTTCTGCTTATGCTCACACGTTCACGTGGTGCGAATTGTGAATTGTTATTCTTCTCTGACATTGAAAAGCACATACGTGAACAGGAAAAAATAAAAAAATGTCAAACGATATTGTTGTTTATGAGCAGGTACCCGATCAACAAATCGTGGATCAGGTTATGAGGACCAGAAAACCGCTGTATGATTATGTTACGCCTCCCGTGGATGAGCATGACAGTGTTATTCCACCAGAGGTTAACATGAATCACTTTGAAATCAAGCCTGCTATCATTCATATGGTTTCAAATACTCAATTTGGCGGAGCGCCAACGGAGGATCCAAATAATCACATCACAAAGTTCCTTCGAGCTTGCAACACCTTCAAAATCAATGGTGTGCCAACTGATGCTGTCAGACTACGCCTGTTCCCATTCTCTCTACGGGATCGAGCTCAGAGTTGGCTTGACTCTTTTCCGGATAATCACTTCTCCACTTGGGATCAACTTCATGGTGAATTTCTCAAAAGATTTTTCCCGCCATCTAAAACGGCGAAAATCCGAAGAATGATTCAAAATTTCAAGCAAAATCCCAATGAGCCCCTCTACGAGGCTTGGGAAAGATTCAAAGATCTTCAGCGACAGTGTCCACATCATAACATCCAAAACTGGCACTTGATGACGGCTTTCTATGAAGGCCTACATGAAAATTCTCGGATACTCGTGGACGCGTCAGCAAATGGATCATTCATGTGCCTAGAACTTGAAGAGACAGAAGAATTGATGGAGCGTATTTCATCAAATGGATCAACATGGTATTCTGAGCGATCATCTGCTCCACCAAAAATCGGAGGCATGTATGAAGTTGATCAAATGTCGGCCATAACCACAAAGGTCGATAGCATGATGAATCTTATCCAAAAGATGGCACAAGTCTCTCTTGTGCAAAACTCAACATCAACTCCAGCTCCCATTCCCATTCTTATGTGTGAATCTTGCGGTGGACAACACAATCAGTCTACTTGTCCATGGGAAGCAATGGAACAACTTGACTATGTCAACTACAACAGGCAGCCTCAACAAAATCAATTTGGTAATTTCAATCCTCAAGGAAGAAACCATCCCGGTTTTTCCTGGAGCAATCAAAATGGAGCTGCTAATCCACAACCATCTTATCGGAGTGCACCACCCGGTTTCCAAAACCAACAACAGCAAGTCAGAGGTGGCCAAGGTATTGTGAACCAGCAACACTATAAACCCACTCAAAATCTTCTATACCCTTCAACTCAACAGCAAAAACCACTTCTCCCCACTCCTGAAACAACCCAAACTCCTGTCCTAGAAAACATTGTTGACCAACTTCTCAAGTCCCAATTATCTCAAGCTGAAACCCTGAAACAAATCACCGAAGAACTTGGTCAACTTCGAGCTCACAACAAGATGCTTGAGAATCAAATTGCTAATCAAGCATCCACATCATCAACTAAGGTGACAGGTAAGCTTCCTGCTTGTCCTGAAAACCCTAGGGAGCAAATCAATGTCGTCACTACTCGGAGTGGGAAACAACATCAATCCTCGCCCCGTTCTAGTGATGAACAAGAACATGAAGTGTTGGAGGAAAGGGCCGAGCAACAACAGAAAGGTGGAAACAACAACAATGAACTTGATGTCGGTACCATGCCGAAACCATCTGATGATCGTGAAGGGTCGAAGAAAGAAAAAAGCAGTTCGGTAAGGAAATATATTCCCCCAGTTCCTTATCCGAACAGATTGAAGAAAGCTAATATGGAGGAGCGGAGAACTAAATTTTTGAATGTTATCAAACAGTTGGATATCTCAATTCCTTTGCTTGATGCCATTACAGAAATTCCTTCATATGCTAAATTTCTCAAAGATATTCTCACAAAGAAGAAGGAGAATCCAGCCACTGTTGCAATGAGCCAAGAATGTAGTGCCATAATCCAAAACAAAATTACACCCAAGTTACGTGATCCTGGAAGCTTCTCAATTCCATGTATCATTGGTGGATCTAAAGTTAACAAAGCTCTTTGTGATCTTGGTGCAAGTGTTAGCTTAATTCCCTATTCACTATGTCAAAAGCTACACTTGGGGGATCCCAAACCAACAACAATGGCGTTACAATTGGCTGATCGATCTGTCAAATATCCTATCGGCATTCTTGAAGATGTTCCTGTCAAAATTGACAAGTATTATATCCCGGGAGAGTTTGTTGTCTTGGATATGGAGGAAGATGCTCGAGTTCCTGTTATTCTCGGGAGACCCTTTCTAGATACGGCAGGAGCAATTATCAATGTAAAAAAGGGTACCCTTATCCTTGAGATTGGGGATGATAAGATCGAATTCAATGTACAAGAGCTGAGTAAGGATACATCTTGTATCCTTGATGGTTACTATGCTGATGTTATAGACTCTTGTATCATAAAGACATTTGATAAGTCTTATTGGCTTTCTAAAGATCCCATGGAGTACACTATACGAGAATCTATTGCAGATGAGCAAGCCAATGAAATGGTGAATTCATGCCTCGAAATGTTGCAAAGCATATCTTTACCGATGCCTAAAGCACTTAAATTTGAAGTGCTTAATCTTGAAGATCAATCCTTGAATGTCAAAGGAAAAGCACCTGAAGTAGAACTCAAACCACTTCCATCTACTTTAAAATATGCTTTTCTTGGCCCGAATTCCACTTATCCTGTCATTGTGAATGCTGATTTGGATCTTCAACAAGTGGAAAGAATATTGCAAGTCTTACGAAGCCATCGCAGAGTTATTGGCTACACCATTGATGATATTGTTGGCATAAAGGCATCGTATTGCATGCACCGCATTTACTTGGAGGATGATCACAAGCCGAGCATTGAGCACCAAAGACGCCTCAACCCGAACATGAAAGATGTTGTTAAAAAAGAAATTCTTAAACTATTGAGTTCGGGTATCATTTTCCCCATTTCGGACAGTAAATGGGTAAGTCCTATCCATGTGGTGCCAAAGAAAGGAGGAATTACTGTTGTAAAGAATGACAAAAACGAGCTGATTCCTACACGAATAGTCACTGGATGGCGCATGTGCATTGATTACCGCAAGCTAAACAAGGCTACTCGGAAAGATCATTTTCCACTTCCCTTTATTGATCAATTGCTGGAGAGGATGGCTAAGCACAAATATTTCTGTTTTCTTGACGGATTCTCTGGATTTTTCCAAATCCCAATTCATCCGGATGATCAAGAAATGACGACATTTACATGTCCTTATGGTACTTTTGCATATCGCAGAATGCCGTTTGGATTATGTAATGCACCAGGAACCTTTCAACGATGTATGCTAGCTATTTTCTCGGATCTTGTCGAGGAAATTATGGAAGTTTTTATGGATGATTTCTCGGTTTATGGGATTTCATTTGATGATTGTCTTGAACATCTTGATAAAGTGCTAAGCAAATGTGAAGAAGCAAATCTTGTCCTCAACTGGGAAAAATGTCATTTCATGGAAACCGAAGGCATTGTGCTTGGGCACAAAATTTCTGAAAAGGGCATTGAAGTAGACCCGGCAAAGATAGAAGTAATTGAGAAATTGCCACCCCCTTCTTCCATCAAGGGGATTCGTAGTTTTCTTGGCCATGCGGGATTTTATCGACGGTTTATCAAGGATTTTTCAAAAATATCAAAGCCTTTAACCAATCTTCTCTCAAAAGATGTGGAGTTTAATTTTGATGAATCTTGTTGCGCCGCATTTTCAAAACTCAAGTTGGCCTTAACTACTGCACCAATTATTCGGCCACCTGATTGGAGTCTTCCTTTTGAACTCATGTGTGATGCAAGCGATTATGCCGTGGGAGCCATTCTGGGTCAACGCAAAGGCAAAGAAGTATATGCCATTTATTATGCAAGTCATACTCTTGATGATGCCCAATCAAATTATGCCACAACTGAAAAAGAGTTCCTTGCCATAATTTTTGCCATTGAAAAATTCCGATCTTACCTTATCGGTAGCAAGATTATTGTCTATACTGACCATGCGGCTATCAAATACCTCATCAACAAAAAAGATGCAAAACCGAGGTTGTTGCGGTGGATCTTGTTACTACAAGAGTTTGACATGGAAATCCGTGATAGAAAAGGATCTGAAAATGTTGTTGCCGATCATTTATCTCGACTTGAGATTCCTTGTGATACCAAGAGGCCAATCAATGATTATTTCATTGGGGAACAACTTATGGCTGCTCAAAATTTCGATCCATGGTTTGCCGATATTGCAAATTACCTTTCTCATGGGGTAATTCCACATGGTGCTACACATACTGAAAAGAAGAAGTTAAAATATGACTCCCGCTACTATCATTGGGCAGAACCTTTTCTCTATAGAAGGTGTGCCGATGGAGTCATTCGACGGTGTTTGCCCGAAGATGAAGTTTCAAATGTCTTGCACCATTGTCATTCCTCAGCATATGGGGGACATCATGGAAGCTCTCGTACTGCTGCAAAGATTTTACAATCAGGTTTCTTTTGGCCCACTATTTTCAAAGATGCAAGCAAATTTGTGAAAAACTGTGATCGTTGCCAACGTACCGGTAATATTGGAAGAAAGAATGAAATGCCTCAACATGGCATACTTGAAGTCGAATTGTTTGACGTGTGGGGGCTCGATTTTATGGGGCCATTTCCAAAATCAAATGGGAAAGAGTTCATCCTTGTAGCTGTTGATTATGTTTCTAAATGGGTAGAAGCAGCTGCCACACAGACAAATGATGCCAAAGTGGTGATCCAATTCATTCAGAAAAATATTTTCTCCCGATTCGGAGTTCCACGATCTTTCATCACCGACAATGGTACTCATTTTTGTAACAAAGCATTGGAACGTGTCCTTTCCAAATATGGGATTCACCACCGACTCTCAACTCCATACCACCCGCAAACAAATGGCCAAGTGGAACTTTCAAACCGAGAAATCAAAACAATTCTCGAGAAAGTTGTTAATCCTTCCCGAAAGGATTGGGCCGAAAAGCTCGATGATGCACTATGGGCATATCGCACTGCTTACAAAAATCCCATCGGCACCTCACCATTCAAATTGGTGTATGGGAAAGCATGTCACCTTCCTGTTGAGGTTGAACACAAAGCATATTGGGCAATCAAGACACTCAACATGGATCTTGCATTGGCGGGTGAGAAACGACTGTTGCAGCTAAATGAACTTGAAGAATTCAGACTTGCAGCTTATGATAGCTCAAAACTCTACAAGGAGAGAACAAAAGTTTTGCATGACCGGGTGATCAGCCGAAGAAAATTTGAACGGGGAGATAAAGTTCTTCTATTTAACTCACGTTACAAATTCTTTCCCGGAAAGCTAAAGACCCGATGGTTGGGTCCATTTGAAGTACTTGAAGCATTTCCATCCGGAGCAGTCCAGTTGTTAAACAAAAGCGGCCAAAAACTCATGGTAAATGGACAACGGTTGAAACTATACCATGATGGTGAGAGACAAGAGGCAACTTCTGTGTATTGCCTCACTGATCCGAAATATGAATGAAGAGGCATGGGTCAAGCTAATGACCTTAAACGAGCGCTTCTTGGGAGGCAACCCAAGTTTGTAAATTTCAAAAAAAAAACAAAAAACAAAAAAAAAAGCAAAAAAAAAATGTCTAGGTTTTTGTTTTTGGACTCTAAAGGGGCCACATCCGCTCGAAAAGACATCTCAACATCATCCGTCCGCAATTCAGGGAAGTTTTCTTTACACTCCTTTAATTTATTTTCCACTGAGGACAGTGCAAATTTTAAGTGTGGGGGAGTGGGTAGTTCGACCCTAATTTCTTGTGTGAATATTTTTTCTTTTTCCTTGCTTGTTTGTGTGATTTTATTTTCTTTTATTTTTATTTTGTGTGTTTGTTTAGAAAAGTAAAGACCAGTCTTGTCCAAAATACAACAATAGACAAACAACACATTAGTTTACACTTTTTGTTACTAGTTACTTCCATAACTTTTTAAAACTATTCATTCACCTCTTTTGACGAAATGTGGTTTGAGTTTGAGAAGTGTCACTATAATTTTTTGAGAGTAACTTAGTATTAGCTTTGAACTTGATTCTTTTTAACACTTTAACATTAAACACCTTAGATTTTATTTTTCCAATTTATTGGTTAATAGTTGAATTAGTGAAAGTTTATGCAGATTAAGATGTTCATACATTTATTCTCCTTGAAATTTTATTTGAACTTGACACATTTAGAAATGATTTAGGCCATCTTTGTTTACCCATGAAGCCAAACACTATCCCTTTGTAAATAAATAACACTTTCCCTAGTAACCTCGTTTCACCCTTTCAGTGTACAAGTGTAAAATATCTTACTTCACTTGTTACTAATTCTTTTTTTTGTAACCTTGTAAATACATAACCTTCTGAAGCCCTATCCAAAGTTAATCTTTTCTAATCCTAGAGTAGATTGTCTTGTTACTTGTGAGCGAATAAATGGAGCTACTATTAAGTGTCATATGAGTGAAGTACATATTTGTTTGTAAATTTTGGGGTTAGTTTTTCATTGTAATGTTCAGTGTGTGCCCTCTTTGAAAAAAAATCAAAAAAAAAAGAAAGAAAAAAAAAGAGAAGAAAAATTGAAAAAAAAAGAAAAAAAAACAAAAAAAAAACAAAGAGGCACATTAAATTCTTGTTGTAATTTCTTTTGTAAAACCCCATTTTTTTTTACTTTTCATGTTTATATTTCTCATTGTTTTGTATGCTCCAAGTTTTTGTAAATTCTTGTGATGATCCGCTCACTATTAGTACAATCTAACCCTCTCTGTATATTCTTACACCAAACTTTCCTTCCAACTAGCCACACTCATTAATCTCGCCACTCACCGAAAAAAGTCCTAATTGATCTATTTGTGTCATTTTTTGAATTTAGCGGATTGGAGAAACTTGTTCTGCATAACCCGAACTAATTTAGATCTATAGGTGTTTGTGTTAAAAGTTTGATTTGAAAATCTTAGTGATAGGCAATAATACTCGGTTTACTCTCAATGCGTTATTTTGTGACATTTCAGGGTATTGGACCGTTTAATGGACATTAGAGGTGGATATGTGATTTATTTAGTTATGTTTGTAAATCTTATCAAATTGTGTATATTTTTGTGTTTGTTGTTTGTTTTACTTGAGGACAAGCAAAAGCCTAAGTGTGGGGGATTTGATGTACTTATATTTTACACACTTTTTAGGCTTAGTTTGTTATTTATTTTAGTTATTAAAATTCTACTTTTGTACATATTTTTATAATTTGTCGTTAGTTTGTACTTGTGCAGTCCTACACGGGTATTTTGTATTTTCAGGTACTTTTGATGCTATTTGGATACATTAGAGTGAACAAAAGAAGAAAAATAAAAGTTCAAGTTGGAGGTCAATAAAAGTGGAATTTCCTTCAAAACAAATAAGGAGTAAATTGAAGAAAAGAATCAAAACTAAAAATGATGGAGGTGGGATTCGATCCCTGGAAAAAGGGTAGAAGAATGCCTACTACAACCAGTGTGCTAAGTGATCAATACTGTACATATTCAGCTGGCAATTGTTATATTCCTTCTGAACGCGGCAAAGAAAAGAACAAAATGTTTAAGCGGAGAATCGATAACATGATCTCCGAGTTTTCCTCTGAAGTGCTTATCTGTTGAGCTACCTGCCACTTTTGAAACTTTACTGCGCTTTGTTGTAGATAAACTCATCTGTTCCGTAAATTCCAGCAATTAATGATTAATCACCTTATCATTATATTGCCTTAATCCATCTTCCTCCACACATAAGTTCGGACCAACCTCTCTCTAAACATCCCAGAAACATTTCCTCCTCCTTCTCTCTTCATTTCTCAACCCCAAATCATCAACCCATCTTCAACCATAACTAATCACTTTCTCATCCAAGATTAAGTCAAGATTAGCATCAAAGCTCCAAGGATTGTCATCAATCACAAGTTTGATCTTCCTTATCTCATTAAATCTTGTATTTTAATCATGGATTCATCTATTTCTATGTTTCCCAACATGTATAGCTAAATAAATTTGGGGCTAGAAATTGGTTAATTAATTGTTCTTATAATGTTTTAATTTGTATTGATTTTAATTGTTAAGTTTGTTCTATTTAGATTGTTGTGTCCAGAAAATTAATTATGTTGTGTTTATGATATATATTATGAGTACTCAATCATAAACATATTGTTTGTTAAATACACAAATGAACACTTTCTGAACACACCGTTAAACTTCTTTTACCTTGTCCCGGATTGAAGTTTTACGGGAGAATTTAATTATTTAATTATATTATTTACACCACGGGGTTGGGTAAATAATATAGTTAATAATTAAGGTTGCCGTTGCACTTAAACAACTAGTCTCATTTTGGCCATCACTGGGAAATGTTGACTAGTTACTTATTTTAGGTGACTTGTGTTGGGTCCTAAAATATTTATCTACAACTTCTCACAATCTATCTAAGAATAAAATTAGCAATTATGTCTTACAAATGAGCATTGAACAATTAGTTGCCAATTTCTACCCCTACTTGCTATTGGTTGAACTTTGTGTTGATAAAAATCTCTTCTCTCAATCACTTTTATTTAATTACTTTTCCAAGCAAACAAAAATCAAAAGAAACGCATTCCCAACTTCAATCCTTAGTTTGTGCTTAATTATTTTATTTCCCGCTTCTCTGTGGTTCGACACCCTACTTCCTTGCGTAAAAAAATAGTTGTGTGCCCATTATATGCTACACACCAACTTGGCGCCGTTGCCGGGGAAGCGGTTTTGAAAAAAAAAAATTGAGAGCATAAACTTTCGATTTTAGTTATTGTAAATTGTGTGTATATTATTCTGTTGTTATCTTTTTACCTTTGCAGGTTAAAAAAAAAAAGTGATTAATTAAAGTTCAAAAAAAAAAATCAAAAAAAAAAATCAAAAAAAAAAATCAAAAAAAAAAAAAGTGGACTGTGATTAATCATCTTACCTGAGCATTGGAGTTGGACTTGTTGACTGAACATATCTGGACATTCAGACCATTGAACATATTGTTACATTTTAATTAAAAGGATACTCCGCCTATATGGTCGGACCGCTTACTTGTACATTATAATTCAAAGGATACTCCGCCTATATGGTCGGACCGCTTACTTGTACATTATAATTCAAAGGATACTCCGCCTATATGGTCGGACCGTTTATTTTTCTTTTTATGATGGTTCAAACCCCAACTTTTTAATTTCTGCACTTTAATTATCGCAATTTAATTTGTGCACTTATATTATCGCAATTTAATTTCCGCACTTTAATTTCAGCATTTTTTTTAAATTTTGCATCCCCAAGCTTGTAGGCCGTGTCCACTTGTTGGTGGAGTGCACTTTTTATTTTTATTTTTTTTCTTAATAATCCCCAGACTGTCGGCATAGCTGCATCTTGGTGGAGACTTGTGTTGGGTCCTAAAATATTTATCTACAACTTCTCACAATCTATCTAAGAATAAAATTAGCAATTATGTCTTACAAATGAGCATTGAACAATTAGTTGCCAATTTCTACCCCTACTTGCTATTGGTTGAACTTTGTGTTGATAAAAATCTCTTCTCTCAATCACTTTTATTTAATTACTTTTCCAAGCAAACAAAAATCAAAAGAAACGCATTCCCAACTTCAATCTTTAGTTTGTGCTTAATTATTTTATTTCCCGCTTCTCTGTGGTTCGACACCCTACTTCCTTGGGTAAAAAAATAGTTGTGTGCCCATTATATGCTACACACCAGGTGTAGTAGAAGATGTTCTAATAGAAGTAGAAAATATGGTCTTTCCTGTTGACTTCTATGTCATTGAAATGGGAACTGATGACCAAACAACATCCATCCTTTTGGGTAGACCCTTCATGAAGACCGCAAAAACGAAAATTGACGTTTCTAGTGGTTCACTAACTTTAGAGTTCGATGATCAAAAAGTGGAGTTCAACATCTTGGACTCTACGAAAAAACAAATGCAAAATCCAACTCTGTGTTCTTTACATGTTGTTGAACCACAGGAACCGCTGTTTTTCCAAGAAGCGGATAAAATCAGATGTCTTTTGAGAAAGAAACCCCGGCCTTACTGGAAAAGGCCGAAAAAATAAAAATGAAAAATGGCCAAATAGGGCCTTAAAAAGTGAAACAAGGGATGCTCATGATCCCACATAAAACAAAACCAAAAAAAAATGAATAACGTCGTGCCACGACGTTAACTAAGGCGCTACTTGGGAGGCAACCCAAGTTTATTTTTTTTTTAAGTGTGTTTAATTTATTTTTTATTTAATTCAAGTTTTTAGAATTCAATTTTTTCTAATTATTTGAGAGATCAGTGAGGGAGGGCACTAATCATGGGTTTTTGGAAGAAAAAAATAAAAAAAATGCAGGTTTTGGAACATCTGGGGACATACCCGATCGAGTATCACCTGATACTCGGTCGGGTATGAGCAAAGAGAAAAGGGACCGGGCACTACTCGATCGAGGGAGCACTCAAAAATTGAAAAATAAGCAATACCCGATCGGGTATCACTATACACCCGGTCGGGTATTGCTAGAAATGCTAAAATTGAAGGGGACTGACTCCCACACTCGACCGAGTACCCGCTTCAAAAATGAAAAAAAAAGCACATACCCGATCGAGTATGGAGGAATACTCGACCGGGTACAGGAGACAGGCTGCTCACAAAGTTCATTTTCTAAACATACTCGACCGGGTAACCCCACCCTACCCGATCGAGTACAGGAGGCAGGCCGCTCAAAAACTACACTTTCCAGCCATACCCGACCGAGTACCAGCACATACTAGATCGGGTATACGGGTCTTATAACCCCAAATCAACCCCAAAACACTTCATCTTCTCCAAATTCTCAACCCTATCTCGAACAAAAAACGCCCAAACCCCATTTTTACACCTTCTCTCTACCATATCTCTTCCAAATCTTCACCAAATCCACCCATTCCAACGCCAAAACACTCCCCTCATCCTCCTCTACACATTCATACCCACCAATCCCATTCTCCCCCAACTTTCAGAGGTCCGAAAAACCCTACCCCCACCTTCCAATTTCGGTTTTCAAAGGCCAAATTCACTCCAAATGGCTCCAAGGAAAGAGAAAGGGCAAAGCTCAAGCACTAGGGCAATCATCCCGGGCTACGAGGACATCCTCTTCGTGGACAACGAACAACGCACACGCTTCATGTCCACAATTGAAAGGCAAGTCAAACCTTCCCGCTTTTTATGCCTTGATGCTCTAAAGGAATTAGGAGCATACAAAATAATGAAGAAATTTTTTAATGAGTTGCATATGGATAAAATTTTCAAAATGCAATACAACTCAAATGAAAAAATTATCTATGAATTCTTAAGCTCGGTGCACTTTGAGAACAATGAAGAGGACTTTAGGGATGATAAACTCAGGTTTCGATTGTTTAATCACAATCACACCATCACGAAACTTGAGTTTGCCGAACACTTTGGTATTCCGGTCCCGTACCAAAAGTCTATATCCGACAATACCGCCTTCGGCCACACCCTATGGACCAAGATGACCGGGGAGACCAAATTTAGCTCCTCCCAACTCTACATTAGTCATGTCCAACATCCAGTCCTACGCCTCTTTTTGAAATTCCTTGCCAACTCCTTGCTTGGACGTCCCAACAACCATCATACAAGGATGGGGGATGTATGCCTCATCTCGGTAGCCTTATTCCGTATCCACGTGGATTTCAACCTCTGTAATCTCATGTGGGCTCATCTAAAGAAGGAAAGTGTGGCAAAGGGTGCTATCGTAGTGGGCGGGGTGATTATGCACTTGGCCACAAAGTTCGGGTATACGGATGACTCTCCTATACCCGACTACTGTTTGATGAACATATCTTGGCTGGGCCACTCGGGCTGTACATCTTTTTCACACACCGTTTATGGTGAAGAAAGGCCCAAAAATATGTACAACTGGCACATCCACCCCAAACCCCTCAAATACTTCCTCTTGCCCAACCCAGAACTCCCCCAACTCCACTTCAAAACAGGCAGACCGGATCAACATTACCTCTTCCCAAACGCCCTCCCACCACATCTCCAAGAACCGGAACAGGAACCTCCCCAAAACCAACCCGATGACGAGCCCTATGAGCAACTCCATAGCCATCCAACCATGAGCCATGACTTCCCAGAACAAAGCCAAAACCCTCCACCACCCGACTTCTTTCAACAACTTCTGGAGGGTCAACAACAACTTCTTACGGGAATAGCCCAAATGGACAACCGGCTCAACTGATTAGAGGAAGAGAAAAGAGCCGGTTTTCAAAGATTGGAGGATGAGCAAAGGGCCGACTTTCAACGTTTGGAGGAGCTCCGGGAGGCCGATAGACACCGGTATGAGGAAGACAAACATAGGTTCTACGGGCCTATGTACTCGTTTATGGCACATCAAGGATCCTTCCATACCATGGCGAACCCTCCTCCACCACCCTCATGGTATGACCCCACTCATTGGGGTAACTTTGGAGGATCTGGCTCCGGTGGTGGAGGGTACGACGGCGGAGATGGTGGGGACACTTACATGGGAGATGGTGGCCAAGGGAGCGGCTTTGGAGGGAGCTACTACGGAGGAGAAGGCGGGCACTAGGGACAGTGCTTGATTCAAGTGCGGGGGAGACACTCATGATGGTATGTAATTTTCATTTCTACCTAGCACTATGCATGTAATTCTTTTGAACTTTTACACACAAAAAAAAATAAAGAAAAAATAAACAAAAGAAAATAAATGCTAGTTAGGTTGAAAACCCAACAAAATGGGCAATCTAAGCAAAAAAGGCTTATAAAAAAAATGAGTGAGTTGGAGAGAATGGAAAATGAAAAGAGGTGCTAGGATGAAAACCTGAAAAGGCTCCTAGGCAAAATGAGAGATATGAGAGAAATGTTTGTTCTTGCAGGCACTCATTGTATCCTTATGAAGAATATGAAGATTCAAGATAAAGAAGAAGAGAGGAGGAGAAAAGAAGACAACACTAGGAGGCCATTAAACCCAAGATGCTCTTTTGTAATTTGAGTTTAAAACTCATTTTTCTTTGTAATCCTTGGTGGTCTTTGTGTTTGTATTATGTTTTTGTTGAACTGTGGAACTTTTGGACAAACATTGACACTTGTAAACATTTGATCTTACTCGAGACGAGTAAAGGTTTAAGTGTGGGGGAGTTGATACGTTCGTAATTTCCATTTCTATGTTTATGTTTTTAATTAGTTTTGCTTGACTTTTACTTTGGAAATTACACACTTTTGGTGTAATAGATTAGATTGTTAAATTCTTGTAAATAGGTTAGATTAGATATATTCTGAGCTTAAGCAGGTTTTGGTCACTCAAAGTACAGTTGGTGAACCCAAAAAGTGAAGAGAAGGTGAAAAAGTTCAAAGACAAAAGAAGATCCTGAATTTTGGTCTATACTCGGTCGAGTATTAGCTATACTCGATCGGGTATTAGGTTGGAACTTCAAATCGGATCAGATCCGAAGACAAAGGAACATGCAGGGAAGATTTTGGCCACGATTCTATGTCTATACCCGATCGGGTAGACCGACATACCCGATCGGGTATGCCTTTGAATTGCAAACGAAGATCGGTCGAGTATAGCCCGAATACCACTTTCTAAGCATACTCGACCGGGTATTCATATATACTCGATCGGGTATACACTTAGAAAATAGCCTGAAACCGGTCGAGTATGCCTCGGATCGGGTGTTACACACATACTCGATAGGGTACCATGTATATACCCGATCGAGTACCCGAATCCCATCCCAAAAACCTATAAATACACCTCCTTTCCTTCACAAAAAGATATCCAATCCCTTTGTACATCTAAGCTCAGTATAGAATAGCTCTTTCTTTATATTTTTCATCATGTTTAGTCTCCAAATGAGGAGCTAAACTCTTCCATCTTGGTTTTGCTACTTTGAAGCTTAATGAATTTGTAAGTTGTGAGTTATTTTTCTTTAATCTTCTTCCTTGAATATTAATTCTTTCTTTCAAAATACTATCTCTATATCAAAGTTGGGGAGTGTTACTAAGATGACAATTAGTTAACATCTTGACATTGGTTATAGTAATAGCTATTTCTTCCTCTATGATAATATTGGGGAGTGTTACTAAGATGACAATTAGTTAACATCTTGATATTAATCATAGTAGGATTCATATATTTTAATATTCTTCCTTGAGTATTAATTAATTCCTATTCATATTTCATGTTAATATCTTAAACATTACTTAAAGTATCAACTAGTATTGTTTCTCATATTAATTATTACTAGAATCAATCGGTT